AGCTAACAGCTTGTTTGATGGCGTCTCACAGAACAACAGCTTCAAGCACAGCTTAATAGTGGTCGTAGTGAGCAAGTCTCAGTTTCAACTGTTAAGAGAAGACTCTGAGCTGCAGATTTGACAGGACGAGTTGAAGCAAGAAAACCATTGGTATGATGTCAGGATAAGACAAAAAGGCTTGTCTCGGCCATGAAACCGGCCGTTGGAATGCTGCAAATGGATGGTCTGGGGCTGTTTCTAGGGTTGGTGACTTACAGAGTGAGAAGCACCCTGAACCAAAACAGCTACCACAGCATTCTGCAGCACCATGCAATACCCGCAATATACACCTAGTTAATCAGGGGTTCATCCTACAGCAACGGGTGTGTTCAGCTGTTATATTTGCCAAAAGGGGGTACTTTGATGAGTCAAAAGTTTAGAATACATTTTGGTCTATAAACTGATTCCATGATTTCTTTTTTAATCCCAATTGCTTAGTTGTACCATGCTTTCATTTCAGAGTGCAATGAGACATTAAACTGAATTATATTCAATAATAAAAAAAAGGAAAAATTGTGTTCAAAAACTTTTGACCGGCAGTGTACATATATATATATACTAGCAGGCAAAAGTAGCTATTTTTAAGAATCTAAAATATAAAACATGTTTTGAGTTATTTCAGACTTTTTTTTTACTACATAATTTAATATGTGTTAATTCATCATTTCAGCCTCAGTGAGGAGCTACAATGTAAACTGTCATGAAAATAAAGAAAAAACATTGTTTAACTGTTTATTTTTTTTACTTGTTTTTTAAAACATTACTTCCTAATATTGTTGATGGCTGTCCTTCAAGCCTATGAAAACATTACAGAATAAAGAGTATATGCTAATGTCTGCGGTCACAGAAAGTACTCGAGAAAGTATTTTATCTTAATTTAGAGTACAAAGTACCAGGAAACTGGTCTTTTATAATTGCAAGTACTCATGTGGAAGCAGATACATATATAAATATGTTTGCCAACATATTGCTTTATCTGAACTTTCTGATAAATAAATCCATGTTAAATCCAGACAGTATCGTTCTTAGATGACGCTAGAGTATAAAAAAGACAAAAATATTTTAAGGAACGGTAAAATTTGATCACTTTATCAAAGTTTTCACATCTGTCATTCAACAAGTCTTCATTGTGACTAAGTACATTGTCCTGTTTATGGGTACGGTTTTAAAAAGTGTTCTTAATGCATGTTAGTCTCACAGGAGTCAGGCTGCAGTATTTGAAGAGTAGCAATAAGTTTGATTGACTTTCTGAACCAGGGATAAAAAAAGACATAAATGATAGGGTTTAGGCAAGAGTTAAAGTACACCAAACATATTACAAAGGCAGCAGATGAAGCATTTAGGAAGTTATCTTGCCCTGTGAGAGCAACGCAGTAATATGGGCACATACATATAAGAAACACAACTACAACAACACCAAGAGTACGGGCTGCTTTCAGCTCCGATTTCATAACAGTTACTGTAACTGATCGCTGGTGAGTGACTGCAAGTTGACACCTCATGGCACGAGCCTGAGTCACAGCCACCACAAACACTCTCAGATACAGAACTACAATCACAGTAATGGGAACAATGAAGGAAAACAAAAGATCAAAAATCCCAGCAATGTAGTTAACGACAAAGACACACTCTCCAATGCAGGAGTTATACTTTCCTGGTTGTTTCAAGTTATCCTTCACAATCAAACTCTGAAAGATTACAGAAAAAAACCAACACAAACTTATACATATATTAATTCTTTGTTGTGTGATTTTGGTGGAGTAATGCAGAGGGTAACAAATAGCCAAATACCTATCAGCAGATATGATCACCATGGTTCCTATTGAGGCTGAAGTAATAATGAATGCTAGATACTGATACAGAGTGCACATGATGTCACCGAGGAACCAGCATCCATCGATGAGCACTATTTGAAAGAACATAAGGAAACCTACAAAGAAATCAGCGACAGCCAGAGAGAGAAGGAGGAAGTTGGTGGGGGTGTGGAGCTGCCTGGAGAGAAAAAGGAGCATCATATTTAGTTTCCTGCATCAAAAATGTATGTGGATGCACATACAACAAAAACTGAAATAGAAATGCACTTCATTAAAAAAAGGTCTACTCTTTCTTGTAGGTACAGATCATATTATGGTTTTAATTACTATTACTGCTATGTTGCTACACAGCACAATTAACTAAACTATTAAAATAATTATTCAATATTTGGAGATAATGAAACATTTTCATACCTGAAGTGTGAGATGGAGATAATGACCAGCAGGTTAAGAATCACAGTAAGCAAAGAAATGAAGGAGAGCAGAATGTAAGTCAGCATGATCTCAAAGTGAGGACGCTTTGGCCTCCTGCAGGAGATATTAAGGAGTTTTGGAAAGCAGAGTTCAGTTTCCTCCATCATTACAGTGAGGCGAGCTGCTAATCATATTCTGTGTCATACAGCATATATCTTTATCCTCCCCTTTTTATTAAATGCCACACCTTCAGAAGCAGAAATAGTACTAAGTGATAGAAATATGTAAAACGCAGGGGTGGGACTCGATTAAAAAACAATCTTATTAATTACAGACTTCGTAATGAATTAATCTTGATTAATTGCTCAAAAAAAACTGCCTCAAAGCACAAATCATTTTTTAATTTAAAAGGATTTTAGTGGGTGACAGAATCAAATAATAGACATGGACATGGGGGGTGGGACAACTCCAAGGTGTGATGCAGGTGGCAGAAAGCAGGTAAGACCACTGAATATGAGACGTATGTCTCACCTCCAAGAAGTTCAGTCACAAACCTGTAGTAGACAGTTCAGGAAAGTCTTTGTTAATCTCCACAATAATTGTCAACTATATATATAGAGCTTTTTGAAGAAACAGTAACAATAAGTTAAAAAATAGTTTTATTTACCTGCATGGGTCAAGGACAGTGGCCAGCTTTTGGAGTTTTGCCAAGCTAGCTTGTACTTACTTTTCCCTGGAACACTCTCTCACAGTCTGTTCTCTAAAACCTAAAAGAGGAATTATGGATTTGATCAACTGGTCTCTGAATGATTATTCAAGTAGTCTGATGTCCTGTAATCATTATGAAGCTATATTATTATATTATTATATCAATTACATAATACAATTATATATGAAATACAATGAAATATTAAGGTGTTTGTACAAAGTATTGGTATCGGATCAGTATCGTCGATACCACCCTGAATTTTATTTGGTATCGGAAAGGAAATCAGTGGTATCGCACATCACTACTGGTTCTCAATCTCATGTCTCATAATGACATGACGAAATTTTTCTTTTTTTAATGATTTAATATGAAGGCAATAGGCAGAGTGTTACATGCACAGCCGTAAAGAATGTAGCCTCATGGGCAGTGTAGTCTGTGCTGCAGGAAGGATGGACTAACATACCCGTTATGTGTCTGTGAGCGAGAAAAAGGGGAGTGGAAAAGTACGAGTTGTCACCGAGCAGAAACGGGAGCTGGAAGCATGTAAATATAATACTGACCACTGCAGCAGCCCAGTTGTAAGTAAGCTATTAAGGGTCAACTGTACACCGTGTTCGTGTTTTTCTCCGAAACAATAAGTTCCGTTGGAGCAGCCTTTCAACGCCTCTCCCTGTCTCTCGGTAGCAAAACTTGACCCAGACAACAAAGTAAAGCTAGTTTTCAGCTACGAGCCCGACACGGAACCTGACGTATTAGTCAGAGGTCCCTTTACTACAGTTCGGGGCCGCGGACCTGTTTTATATACGCAGCCTTGCCTATTCAATTCAATTCAATTCAATTTTATTTATATAGCCCCAAATCACAACAAATGTCGCCTCAAGGCGCTTCATAGATACAGAGAAAAGCCCAACAATCATATGACCCCCTATGAGCAAGCACTTTG